GGGGGGGGAAGCGTTCTGAAATATTACTGAGTTTGATACATATCTTGTTTCTTGAGGGTTTCCTTGCTATATTTTAAAGTATGGTAGCCTTTGTCAGGTACAACAACTCAATATAATATTAACTTAATCTCGGTCAAGCCAAATGTCTAAATCTTGCCAGTGGCGGTACATAAAATGAATCACTGTAGTGACACAGAAAATTCACCAAAATCAAAAAATTAAAGCAAGGCCACAGTTTGCACTGTGTTGCCTAAGTTTTATACTGTGTAATGAAAATTAGTTTGGCACTTTCACTAGTTGACAGTTCCGGCAGCGATAGTTCAAGTCATATGTTATAGGAGCAAGTGTGGCCAACACAAACAAAAGCTTATCATAAATTTCCAGCCCAGGGAAATATTAGATTGCACTCTCATTGTGTTGGAACTTCTCAATGGACATTGGAGGCTCTTAAAGTGTCTAAGTTCCCAGCAGTGGCGGATCCAGGATTATTTGAAAAGGGGGTCCGCGGATGCGAAATTTGCAAATGAATTCATTAAAAAGTATAAAAAGTAGGAGGCTTTCATATTAAAGTACTAGTAGAATGGTCTTATCCATTAAGTGGGGAAAGTGGGAGGTTAGGGAACCGTGAGTTCCTTATGTCAATATATTGCTTTCTGAAATGTCTGGGAGACATAACAGTTGAAAGAATAGCAATTCGTACAGAATTAAGTTCTTTAATTAGAAATGGTAGAAAACATCGAATCCCAATGCAAAGACGGGTCAAACAATAATTCTTGAGAAGGAGAATTTTTTTTCAGGAGGAAATTTAGTTTTTTCGCGAATATCCCTGATTAAAAATTCATTCCCAAATCATCAAAATTTACTAAAAATGTATCATTTAGTGTGTAGACGTGTTAGGCCTTTCACCACTCAGGTTTCAGAGATTGACAACGTACCTGACTATGACGTACAAGAGGCACCTAAAGTTCTGTTCACAACCAAGTTGTTCCACGGACTAACTGACAGTTTGGTTGTGGGCAGAGCTTAAACAGAACACCCAGCGCTCGACACGGCCAGGAAACCGGAATTATTTTAATCGGTACATTGGGGCTTGTGTAGCAGGTTTAAACCCTCCTCCACTCCTCTATCAAACTGGAATGGTACATGTAGCTGTACCGCTTAATGTGAAAACGGCCTTGATGAGGATGTGGATTGCATAATATTGTGTTAGGTGTGACAGACTGGTACACCTCCACCAAAACTGGTTTTTGAAAGCGGGCAACTCGTTCTCTTTGCCCGGAGCCCTTCTATCTGTTACAAAATAGGCAACTGACATCACACGAGGTTCGTGTTTCATATGATGATGAAATTTAGAACTGTTTCTACGCAATATAGCTGAAAGCATACTTTTCATCAATACGAGTAACACTACTATACAGATCAACTTTCAGAAATCTGTTTGTCAAAGTAATATGAACAACACTGGTTGAAAGTGCAACATGGCTGTAGATATTTACACCACGGGTTTCAGAGATAACTTTGAACAAACCTCTACACTACAGCATGTCCTTGTCGTTACAAGTAACTTGAAATTCGGTGTTTGCTGTAGAGGTTTGTTCCAAGTTATCCCAGAAGCTCAGGGTGATGTTGTCCCAAATTCCACGTAAATCCGTCAACCACAGATCAGTTTCTCAAGGCAACTTGTATGCTGCCAGTGCGTAGTGTTTTTTTTTTCACAATTTTACAGTGGTTCGTTAATTATTATTGCAACACTTTGGAATATTGTAAGCAAGTAATGTGATCTTAAACTGAATATTAAACACCCGACCGTGCGTATCTTTGTCGTTTCTTTTTGAGTATAGATTTAACTCTCAGTTTAGGATTACTAATTCAGTAGACACTGATGTCAGTAAGAACCAACAAACACTGCAATTCTGCCAAAATACTTTATTTTTCTTCATTCTGAATTTGCAGAATTAATTGTATTAATTAGTGTGTCAAGAGAAAATCTCGTACATTAAAACTGACTTTTACTTTATAAGAGCAGCTGTTAACAATAAAATGGCAGTCATGAAATTGTGTGCACTACAAGGCAGTATGGCAATATTGTTAAACTGTAGACATTTCAAATACATTTTACAAAACTTGGCAAAATTGACCAATGCTGTATAATAAAACTTTCGACACATCACAATATGCAGTTAAAAAGTATGAATTAAGACAATTTATATAATTCATATAGAAGTAAACAAATGCATAAATGTTATCTGTCAATGTAAGTCAATGTTTATGTCATGTTTAATATAACTGTGCAATCTTTGTAATACAACGTATGCTACTAACAATCATGTGCATTCACAGTACAAATGCAAGATCACCACATCATAGATTGTAATTCCTTCTTATCTCTCTGTGCCTGATATAGAATAAATCTCATTGTTAAAAACTCTTGTCACAGAAACACAAGATGTTGCATTTTCCGTTTTGATATATCTTATCACACCACAACATCTATTATAGCCAGTTCCTCCAGACTGCACGGTACATTACAGCCTTTACTTTATGTCACTGGGAGAGGGATGGATAATCCACTCAAAATGATCATTGCATCATTTGATAAAATCAAAAATCTTTCAAACTGTTAAAGTTAGTTTCAGTACGTGGCTACATAGTCATCATATACAAGTCATAACTGGGATTAGTTAATTTAAAATAAAATTATATTTTTCTGATGTGTTAATAAATGACACAAGCAAAGCTCAATTTTTTAATCGCTGTTTCATGACATAAATCTTACCAAGCATTTGATTTGCAGTTAATTGATCACCTTTAAGGAGGAAGTTGATAGCAAAGATCAACTAACAGAAACCACAGCAAACAATTAAACAGGTAGAGAAAGTAAGCACTGGAGCACTTCCCACTAAAAAAAGCATATGGGGATCACACGTGAAGGCGTAAACCAAAGTGTGAGCTCAGCTGGGCCCAGTAGGTCTCTAATAACCCTGCAGCCAGAAACCAAGGTCAGAGGACAACTGGGGGATGGGACCCATCCCCTCCCCCTCTTCCTCCCCCAACCCCTGTGTATCAAAACAGACAGGATGGACAGGCTTAGAAAGCCACTTCTCTTGGGCATCCATATCCGGTGGATTAAATGTGAAGGGGTTTTCATCTTCAACGCCCACTATAACGTAATCATTATTTGATTTCTGAAGCCAGTCTTCCTCAGGCAGACTTGTTTGATACTGTTTGAAGTATTCCAGCTCAGATATAGCGGGTTCATCACTCACGCCCCCAGGCAAATTAACCCATTTTTCATCGGGAATACTTGATTGGAATTTGAACCAAAATTCAAACTCTGGTGAAAAATTATCTTCCTCAACCACAGCTCTTTTTTTAAACCATTTATCAAGCTCTGCACCTGCTGGAGTTGGGATAAAATCTGGACTTGTTAAATCATCACTGTTGTTTGACTTATCATAAGGGGCCTGCAGGTGTTTCAACCAATCTTTGGGATCTTCAGAGATGTTTTTGAAGTAAGATAAAAACACAGGGCATTCTACCTCCCCCAGTGCCCCTACCTGACCTCCCTTAAGCCAATATGCTGGGTCACAAGGCATCCACCCAAAGAAGCTATCACCCAAACTAGAAGCAATGTGCTGTGTATTGGGGCTGTACAACCACGCTTTCAGACTATCTGGCAAATTTGGATCAACACTCTCTAAGCAATTTTCATCACAAACACACTCTGGAAATGTAGCACACTTTCTATCTGCTTTGCAAACATCTTTAACCAAAGGCAAAGCATAGCTGGTTTCCTCATCCTCTGTGTTCTCCCCTGTCTTGGTGCAGGGTCTATACAGCCATCTTGCCATGTCTGTCGTCCCATCTAGTTGTGGTAGCAGGAGGTGAGCTACATCTTCTATGTCCACCACACAGCTGTCCTTGCAGCACCTGGACCACTCCTTGGCAGCCTCCATCTCCTGAAAAACAGACACCAAATATCCTGTACATACAGACAAGACTGGATTACTCTCACTATTCATAACACTGATTTAATAGTATAGGTTTTAATAGGGTTATTTTACAGGTCTGTAGCTAAGGGAGGTTCGCTTTTTGTTGTGAAAAGATACATTTTAGGTTAAATTTGATCTAGGTACAGAAATATTTCAAGGTAAAAGGTCCGCTGACAATTTGGACTGTACACATTTAAAAACAGAGATGCAATTTCATCTTTCAAATCTGTCATTCAATTTCGAAATATAGCATTTTTCTGCTTAAAACACTTACACCATAAAAAAAATTTGAGGAAACCCGCACCCGGAACTTTTTTTTTACCGAATTCAGAAATGTGAAACTGAAATGAAACCCTACCAAACAAACAATAGGAGATTAAGTATCTTCTGTAAACCTATAGGCACATTCACTTTCATGATTTCAAATATGATGCCTTATCTTAGTCAAAATGGTATCATAAGGTTAAACTTTCAGTTTTCCTTCATTTCAATCTTATAAAGACGTGCGGACGGGTAGTCTAAGGGGGTCTGTAACTTACTGAATTTCTTATTCAGTAGAAAGCACAAAGAAAAAAAAACACACACACAAGCCATGCCAAGCTGTTCAAATACAATTTAATTGTGTTTAACTTTGATAAAGATAAATCAATATTTTCTATTTCAAATTAAAAGCATGGCAACATCACAAAAACCACAAAACAAAAAGAGAAGTAAAACAGATCCCGAGTTAACTTTCCTTATTCAATACTATACATCAGGTATCATTCAAAAAAAAAAAAAAATTGATGATAATAAAATAAAAACTTTCTGTTTTAAACCTAAACTCTACCAATGCCAAAGGTATACTAACCTGTTGGTTCTCATAGTTTGCCAGCCACTGTTTGGTGTCATCTTTGGTCTGTCTATAGTAGGACAGGACATCTTCTTGACCACTGGACCCTGGCTGCTGTGGATGAAGCCAGTTGGTCAGGGGAGCAGAAATGACCCCTTGAAAATATGGCATGACTCCAGATAGATTGCCAGGGACATATGCTGCAAAAGGCAAAACATCACTTGGTTAATGATAACCAAATAAAAAAATTCTCTTTAGATTGAAAGTTGATGGGTTATTATATATTGTGCATTAAACAAAAAGTCATAGTAATTATCAAACAATTAAGTGCTGATGATTATTTGGCAAAAAATTTGATACCACACAATTCCATTTATCTATCAACAGGTGTTAAAAATCTTCCTTTTTCATTTTTGTTTTAAAATACAGGACAGATGGACATGTTAAACTTTCCTCTTTCACTGTTCCATGACAGACAAACAACTTTGTCAAACTTTTCTTTTGAAGACAAAGTTAACTTGTGACAAAGGCTGCCTGTCTGTTATAGAAACTCGTGGAAAATCCACTAGGATTTCTTCATGACACAGCATAAGAAACTGAAAATCTAAGTTTCTTCCTTATTGCACAACATTATGACATCGCTGATAAGACTGCTGACACCCTAAAATATGATGCACCTCCTATTTTCTCAGGTGTCAGATAATGTAATATGTGGACAATTTTTTCCATTAATTATGATCCACATCCTTTTCTTCATCTTCCTCTCATGGATTTTTTTTAGATTAAAATTATTTTTCAACATTCCAGGACACCTAACCTCTCCTGCAGTTCTGTTTACCATCCTCATCACTCCTCCTCAATTTATACCCTCCTCCTCCTCCTCTTCCTTCAACTCTATATATCCCATCATTACTAACCTGGTACCCTTTCACCATATCAGACAATTGTACATCATTTCCCCAAAATATAGATATCATCACTGTATAATACAGTAGGCCCTAATCTTAAAGTGAGTCTTTTATATTACTATATCTAACTGACAGCAGACTTCTTACCATCAAAGGCTGGCCCCTCTTCCTCTGCCTCATCTTTGATCTGACACAGCCACTGTCTGATGCTGGCCGCAGTGGACTCCCGGGGCAGGCTGGCAATGGTGCTCTCGGCAGAGCCAGGATTCAACAACCACTTGGTCAAACTGCTGGTCTTGGCCTCTTGAAATGGTCTGAAGAGGCTGTCAGATGCGTTAGGTGAGCCAGTGGTGATTGTGCTCTTGGATGTGGTAGAGGAAAGTGTGGTTGGGGTGTGCAACCACTTGCTGTCACTGCTGCGGGACAAACGCGGGATCCTGACAGTCACCTAGAAAATACAAAATGTCTAATTTATGAAAAAAGGTCAGAGGTTACGGATGAAACTTTTTCCAAAATTATGAAAAAAAAAGGACTGCATTAATGATGTAATGTGTTATAAGCATGTATCATCACATGAAATAAACTAAATAAATAAAATTACATCCTTTGTCAGATTCTGCTTTGTAACTATTAAATAAGTGAATATAAATTGCTTGTAAACATTTCTGAAGTGTCACACATGACATGGGTGACAAATTCACCTGAAGAAGACTTTGTGAAGTCTGAAATGTAGTGACCTCAATTTAAAAATGTAAACTCCAGTATGTGGTTCAATTAAAATCCTGTCTTTATCTTAGTTTCAAACAACTGGATGAATCTAAACTTTCACCTTTTCAGATATATGGCCCTAGTTTAACAAAAAACTTAAGTCAGGGTCCCTGACTAAAAACTTAATTACCAATGTTACATGGTCACATGCACACATCTTACCTTATCACGAACAATGTTACAACACTCTCATGGCCACATGCACACATCTTACCCTATCAGGAACAGTGTTACAACATTCTCATGGAAGTCACAGTCAATTAAGCCAAGGAACTGACTTAATTTTTTTTAAACTGGGACATGGTCTACTAACAGTCTTAACAACCCTCACTGAATCCCTCATGTATCTGACCTGACCTGACTCAACCCGACCTGACCTGACCCGACCTGACCCAACCCGACCTGACCTGACCCAACCCGACCTGACCTGACCCAACCCGACCCGACCCGACCCGACCTGACCCCACTTACAGTTGGATCATTCTGCACAGATTTGTACAGAACATGATGCTCTACATCTTCGTAGTCCTCAAACCACTTGGGCAGACTGCTGGCTTCCTCGCCTGGCTCAGCAAAGGGTCTGTCCAGCAGGGGGCAGTGTCCACTCACGCGGCCAAACTTGTGGATGACCTCCCTCAGTGAAGCTGTGTTAGCCTTGAAGCTCATGAAGGGGGTGTCCTCAGGCTTAATGTCAAGCAAGTCTAGTCTATAAAATAATGTTTTGGAACAATGTGATTTTGTGAAAGACGTGTCAAATGTATAGAACACAGGCCAGTAGCCAGGGGGGGTTTGCTGGGAAAAGGTCTCTTCTGGGTAAAATTTTATCTAGGTACATGAAGGTTTCATGGTAAAAGGTCCACTTTTTCAGAAAAAGACCCCCCCCTTTGGAAATTGCTGGCTACGGGCCTGGAACATATGATATAGCCTTATACTATCATGCTATCAGCCTATACTTGACTAATTATGAAGATCAATTCTTCATATGATAAAAAGAAATCTAACTTCAGATAAGGGATGCTTTAGTATTATCAAACCATAAGAACATAACTAAAAACTGAATCTAAAAGGTTTTAGCCATCAAACTTATGTCATAACATGAGAAATCAATGACATTTAGTAACATAGGCCGCATTCACATCGAGTTGAGCCATGGCTCTACAAAGCCACGACCTAAATATGGCAGATTTACATGAAAGGAAAACTGCCTAATCTTTTAATAGTCTCTCTGCCTCTCACACGCCTCCCCATGTGTCGTCCCAATGGAACCAAGATTTAATGACTGTGCCCCCACAGGGATGACGCATGGGGAGGCATGTGAGAGGCGGAGAGACTATTAAAAGATTAGGCAGTTTTCCTCTCATGTACATCTCCCATATTTAGATTGTGGCTTTGTAGAGCCATGGCTCAACTCGATGTGAATGCGGCCATACACACACCCACACACACACAGCAATGAGATATCATTTGGTTATTTTATCATTATTCATATTTCTTTTTTTTTTTTTTTGGGGGGGGGGGGGGGCGGGGAGGTAGCAAATTACATTTTTTGACCCTATGACTGGAGTACATGTACATGGAGCACTGAGTATCCAGGTGTTACTCACTTCTCCAGGGTCTTGGTCAGCTTATCTTCCATGTGGGTCCAGTCCTGCACTTCCAGAGTAGAGATGACCCCACCCAAGGCCTGCTGCATAGCCGCCTGCTGCTTCATCAACACCTCATCCTTGGCTTGCTGCACTATCTCCACCTGGTTCAGGAGCCACACCTCTCGGGATCGAAGGCTCTCCAGCTGGCGGCTGATTGTACTCTGGATCTGACCTTTCACCTGTTGAAAACAAAAAAGATACAAAGTCACAAACTGTTTCTTATCATCTACAAAAATTGTGTCGACAAAGAGGTGTGTGTTGTCCAAAATTGTCCGGCTGTTTACCTGTCGGATTAAGATGATCCTTGGGGGTGGGGATGGGGGGTGGTCAAGGGGACTTCCTTGTCACACTTGAACCATTTGTCCCAGCCCTGGCTGTGATAACTGCTCCACCCCCAGTGATAATACTGACAATTCTGCAGTGCTTTGTTCACTAATTATCTTTTAAACAGCTATATTCAAACCCATACAGTCTGCACCAACCAATCCTTTAAATCCTTAAATCCACTCCAACAGGTTGCTCAGGTCTGTGCTGCATACATCTACATGAAGACAAAATTCATTGGAGGTTTCTATACCCTGACAACATGATTCCTTCATCAAAAACATTGACAATGACCAGGAATTTTAGCAGCAATAAAGTTTTTAATAAAACTCGATGGTCCCTCCTCGATTATGCTGCAGCTTCATAGCAACTTTGTCACCTCAGCAATAAAAAGTTCTTAAAACAAATGTCAGAATCAAGTGATTCCCTGGAAATAATTGCAAATCGTAGCGTTGGTATTTGTTTTAATTGTGAAGAGAATTTGATGTTCAGAATTAAATCAATTCCGCAATTATAAAAATGTAGTAGACTGATGTTTGAAAGATATTTCTACACTTCCAAACTCCTTCAAAAAATTGCACAAGAATTCAGAAGTCGAAGATTTTTTTATGCATGGAGGTATTATAGTAAATTTTGAACTCCTGACTGAAACACAAAAAATTGCCATCTTCTTTTTTTAATTAATGCACTAGCTGTAAAAGAAAAATGCAAGGTAAAGTAGCTGTTTAACACCAATGTTATTCTTTGGGGAATGTGGTTTACCATATGTTATGTGTATTAACCTTGGTGTAAAGGTTGTTTGAGGTTATGTCCTGTTATAATTCCAAGAAGCTCTGACCAGGAGAAGGGCATACATGTTTCACACCATGTTCACGAAAAAAAAAAAATCAGAGAAAGTCACATTTCCAGAAGCATTCAAGAGAAAATTCACAAAAAAATGGCTCAATTTAAGGGTCATTTCCATAATAAATCTGTACCTATTGTGGCAGTTGACTCAAATCCAGATTTGAGATCAGATTTTCAGATCAGGGTACCTATTCGGGTAAAAACTAAAAGAAAGCATTAGGTGTACTGCAAACTTATGACCACTGTGTACTCTGTTCCAATACGTCTGGCCCAAGTTAACAAGACCTTCACTCTCTTATCACATGACATAATACTAGATGCACTGATGAACTACTGACTTTGTGATAAGAGACTGCAGCACTTGCTGATAAAGATGACAGTTGCTGCATGGATGTCTGGATGATAGGACTGGATGTCTGGATAACTAGAACAAAGTCGTCACACTGAGAACAATGCGACAATTGCGGTGCATGCAAAAACATGTGCCAACTAACGATAATAAATAATAATCTTATGAACCAAGACGGCAATCAAATAAATCAAATTTATGCCTGTCAAGTTCACAGCATGTCCTTAGCATTTATGTAAGCTGTGTCTCCTTTCACAGTGTCTTTTAGGGTCTCTTTCCTGCAGAGGCCTCGTGCCTAGATCTACATGTCTCATGTTTGACACATGTGTTAGCTACAATACCTACATATAATATGATTCAGGGTAGTTACAACCTCTATTGTATGCAGTACACTAGCTACAAGCATTATTATATGCAGTATGTTAGGCTTAGCTTCATTCTAATATTGTATGCAGGTGTTAGCTACAATCTCTGTTATATGCATTGTTCCATTTACTAAGCTAAACATGTGGCAGTAATTAATATATCTCTGACAGACAGTAAGTATTTGTTCTATATATGAAGTCTATCTCATTAATGCATATCAAAATCACACATAACACAAACCAGCATGTCTTAAATAGAGCTGCTTTCTGATATATTTTGTGTTACCAAAAACTCTTTCAATAGGAAAATCAATAAGTGTGCTAAATTAAATGTAGTTAATGAAACCAATTTCAAATAAAATACATGTCATCAACAGAAAATAATTTTTTCTCTTGGTTACCATAGCTACTGGTAAAAAACATTGACAAAAAGGTTACGTAACTTATATTTACACATTTAGTTGTTAAAATAATGCAACATATATCAAATGAATAATGAGTATATTGTACTAGTAAGTGTTTTGCAAGAGTTTAAAAATATATTACATCTTTCCTATTGGATTGTCACTTTGTTTTACTATCTAAACCTCACAAAATCTTAAGCTAAATATATTCGAGATAACAAATGGCTTTACATCAAAAATAAACTGTTTCCATTAATATGGTCAAACTCCATTAATCTTTAATCAATATCTGAAAATACCTCTGAGGCGTTTTCCTTCAGCTGTTGCTGCACAGCTAGGACGCGTTCGATGGCATCTTCCAGTAAAACCGCCTTCTCCTGCAGCTTCTGCAGTTGCTGCTTTACAGTGTTGTTGTTCATAATGCTGAAAATACAAATATATATCCAATTTAAACACGCAAAGAAGCAACATAAATGTCAGTATCTATATTCGGTAACAAATTGCATGCAAACAAAATTCCAATAACATGAAAGAGAGGGGAAAATCCATTTCCATGCATCATGGAACTAAACAGCTTCATTTAATCTCCTTACCTTTCTTTTACCTCCAGTGATAAAAAAAATCTATGATTTTTGGGCCTTAATCTCCGGGGACAAAACTATCCAAAGATTCCAATCACAACAGTTCCTGGCACAAAAATAAAGGCCACGAGGTGTTCAAGCTCTTTAATGCGTGGTGCAGGACTTGTTTACATATGATGCAGCACGGAAATTTGAACTTTGAGCACACGTGAGTGTCCTTACGTCCTTCAACGTGTTTGTCTATAGAGAGGACTGTTTACTGATGAGTGCAGATGAACCCAGAGCCACAATAAGGCCCTTCTCATATTGAGACAGTTGTCTAGATTTTAACAATGGCTATTATTTTACAGAGTCACCTAAATGGAGCCTCCCCCCCCCCTCTACCCCCTAAGCCTGACACAGCCAGTTAACTGGATTGATTTTATTTGGTACATTGGACCTTGCGATAGGGAGTACTGTAAGAGCACATTCATAACAAGTTGACTTGCGGACTAAAAGATCCACGGACTGAATATGGCCAACCCACTAAAAAGATATGTAGACTGATCCCCTGATCGTCTCCCCGCCTCCACACACGTCGCTACAGGGACCTGACAATTAAATCTCGGGAGTTTAGATTTAATCCGTTTAATGGTGTGTGGAGGCAGGGACACCATCAGGGGATTAGGCGACTTGCTTTTAAGTGAGGTGAGCCATAATTAGATGGCAGTTCTGTTAGTCTGTGGATCATTTGTTCTGAATGCAACCGTAAATTTCTCCAAACCAAAATAACATGTTAGGACCAGTCAAACTGGTGTGATAGAGAACACTACTTCTCATTGTAAAGAGCACTTTTTGCAGAACAACTAATTCATCTGCAAAACACAAAATACTGTTTATTGGGCTGGGTCTATTCAACAGTAGTTGATTGGTTTCTGTGTGGTTATTTCTGCACTGTCACCTGTCAACGTGTTTCAGAGCACATGTTAATGCATGTGATGTGTGTACTACACTAACCAAGCTCTTAGCCATGCTGCTAATAATATGGTGGCACCAAACCATCTGTTTCTCACGGTGAATGCAAAACACTTGACAAGACTGTCTCCCAGGGTTATCATGCCTTATCAGTTGGCACGAGGCCATAACCACCTTCATACCTATCCCCCCCCCAAAAAAAAAAAATGTGCATCATATGACTGAGAGTAAGAGTACGTAAACAACTGCTACCTAATTTGACTTACATAATTTAATCTAAATCGGGTATCAAAAATAAACAGTAGACACACCACCTCATATTTTACATGTACTCAGTGCCACCCTTGTAGTCTGTCTACCTTTAATTTGAATCATGGCAAATATCTTTGTAATCATGCTTTACCTTAGAACTTAGGGTGCATTCCCATAGATTTTAGATCGATCTATCCCCGTGGGGAGTCTCACTAGATTACTGTCAGATAATCCAGCTTAAATGTCCGTCCCGCCTACTACAAGCTGTAAGGGGATAATTAACTTTCGTGCCCGCTCGGCTGACAGCTATTTAGTGTGAACCCCCAGGGAGTTAGGTCAATCTAGCTGGATCGATCTAATCTCTAGGAATGTTGTCTTAGTTTGGTTTATGTGGAGATACCAAGACAATGCCAGCAATAGTCTGAGATTTCTGCCTTTTCCAAATTTGATCTCCATTTTACGTTTTTAGTTTATTTACTGATAGAGCTAAAGTCAGAGAAAAAGCCAATATGATATTGCTAGCTTTCTTTCGAATAAGAAACTTTATTGGCCATAGTATATACCACTAGAATTTTTAGCATTAACACACATGGTATGATCAATTTACAGTCATGCAGACAACCACATGTAACTACACACATGAATTACATCTAAAATGTTATTTTACAGTAATATGGGCATAATTTAACAACACAGTGTTTGCAAGATGACACTATTCATAAAGAAAGAGTGTCTAAATCATCATATAACAAGTATCTAAAATTTTCCCCTTATTGACAATAAGCAAACAGAGCAATCCATCCATGCTTTATATTTTGACTTCTAGACTTGATTATTGTAACAGCAACCATATCAAATTCAAAAACTTCATTCTATTTATTATAATTCAGCTGTACATATCATCTGTAAAATCCCCCTAGTCTGATCACATTGGGCAGTTCTCCATGATCTCCACTAAGAAAATGTTACTCATGACTTTTAAAATTCTAAAGAGTGACTGTCCATATTATCTAGCTGAACAATATTTTAGAACTAGCTACCCTGGCTGTCCCATCTGAACTCTAAGATATCAACTGGGCTCAAATTCTACTGAAGCAAAAATATAAAGACTCTGAATCAAATAATATGAGTCTGTTGCACCAACTGTATGGTGTGATTTTATTAAATGACACGTCAAATGTCTCTCTTTATGACACTTATAAAGAGAGATGTGATAGTTTTAAGAGGGATTTTATAAGATTTTTAAATTCCTATAAACCAAGGAATAATACAACAAATAAATTTATCTCTTAACTTTTTTAATTGCTTTTTATTAAGTTCAGAATAATCTATGCACTGCAGTCGAAGGTTATGTATATAACAAAATGCTATCATTCATTTTGAAGTACGGCAGCAGGATCGCGTCATTATGGTTGCCCTCGACGCAGCCACGCATGAGCGGCGGCCGACATAGCTGTCATTTCGTTGGTCACGTTCTTAACATCGCCTGAGCACGGGGGTTAACGACGCAGTTGAGAGACATAGTAATACCAAACACATCTGATGGCATTTATAACGTTATACGATTAAAGTATAAGACATAATAAAATAGTATTTAAATTTTTAAGATGATTTTCTTTCGAAATTTTTAGTATTTTTGCTCACGTGTCTCTGCCCTCGCGTGACCTGCAGTGAAAGAGCGGTCGACAGACAGTGTCCAGTAACATGTATTTTGTATGTTAAAGTAACTCACAAATCGAAATCTACGTAGTCACATGCTAAATATTTTCGATTTTTATATCGATATTTGACAAAATATAGCATTCGTACCTGATTATCCCCAGCAAAAGCCGAGCAAATTGGATGCTCTGTCAGCGTTCGCAATCAAGGTCATTAATTGGAACGCAAGATAGGACACGCATTGTGCAGTTGCACCATAATAAAGAAATTGCTTCCCTCCGACACTTGCTTGTGTATATAGTTAAGCAATATGAATTTGTTGCATACTGCTTGTTTAATCAAACATACAGTGCACTGAATAAACTTGTTATTATGTTATTAGCTTTGGGATTGTCTTGTCCTGGATAAGCCAAGTTCTCGCCTACCGATGACATTCAGAGTTAATTTGGAAGAACCGAAAAGAGTAACCATCTAGCAGGACTTTTATAAGTTTAAACCATAGAAGTAAATGTTTAAACTAAGTAGGACATAAATGATGTACAATAACAGCATAATGGGCATACAGGAGTAGAGTGAGAGAGAGAGAGAGAGAGAGAGAGAGAGTTCGTGTGTGTGTGTGTGTGTGTGTGTGTGTGTGTTAGGTCTGTGTAACAGTGTGTTTGTTTCATTGGTGGAGAGGGGTATTTAAGGGTGCTTTCCCAGAGATTTAGATCGATCTAGAGATTAAGATTTAGATCGACCTAACCCCCTGGGGGTTCACGCTAAATTGCAGTCAGACGAGCGGGCACCTTAGTTAATTACCCCCTTACAGCTTTCAGTAGGCGGGACAGACGCTTAAGCCGGCCAAGCTGACAGTAATCTAGTGAGACTCCCCACAGGGATAGATCGATCTAAAAATCTATGGAAATGGGTTCTAAGATTTGTCGAAGCCTGTGGGTCAACTTATAATTCATAATTTAGCTTACACACTGTAGGAGTACAGATTTTAAAATAGAACATCAATCTAGAACTTTACAGATAACTAATTTAAAGCTCACTTTTAGCACACACCGACCATCCTGTTAAATTTTATCTTTTGCTTCAAATTGCAGTTAAGGAATACAGATGGGTGCCTTTGTAAGTGATATACAGGGAGATAAAAGCACTATTGTGGAAGAATTAACCAGTCCATCCAAGGGTGACTGGATAACTCTTCATTCTGAGATCACTGGAGGTTAGTTGGTATTAAAACTCCAGCCTGAATTAAAGTTCAATTTTAGTGGAAATTTTGAAGTTTTTCCTCAATTAATAATTTCTTAATTATTCCTTAATATTCTGTATAATATGGTTTTCTGTGCTAGGTATAAATACATACAGGTTCTCTCTCTTTTAGTTACAATGGTGGAGGTGGAACGTTTGTGGCTGCGTTTCCAACAAATGGGATGTGACGAAAATGGAATACTTTCAGAAGAAACTGTGAAAAACAACCCAAAATTTAAGGATGATGTCTTTGTAAGGAATGTAAGTAACTGTGACATGGCAGGTTGATATATGCAATGTAACTTAAATTCTGTCATAATCCCTTTAAGACTTATTACATAAATATATCACAGATTACAGTATTTTTAAGGATGTGAACCTATGTATAAGAAACATATCCTTTAATTGCTGTTTAAGTTCATCTTGTTGAAAGAATTATGATATAATGGAAAGAAAACTTGAATAATGACTAAATTAAAACAGTTTTTGTCTTTCAAAGAAATTGCCAAAAGATATGTACTTGTATACACCAGTAAGCTAAAAATGCTACAGTTTATTTGACATTATAGTTCTGTTGGTCTCTGCAGAATTTGTCATAAGCAAAAAAAAAAATGTTCTGATGAGTTTAGCCAGAAAGATTTACTCATTTGGCTAGAAAAGTACCGAGAGCAGAGATATTGTTTTTTTTTTTTTTCTCAGTACATTCTGCACAGTCCCATATGCAAGGGTAGAGAGAGATTGGGGTTTTTGAAAGAATCCCTGTTTGGTAGAAAAGGGTTGATTCTGGCTAAAGAAATGATCAAGATTCTCCTCCATTCTTCAAGATTGGTCTACAAAGTGGGTAAAAAGCCCCCACCCCCACCCCAAGGCCTGGTGCAATGTACACTTTACCAAGAATTTGAATTAAACTATTCCACGTGTCACATCATAAAAGAAGTGGCAACAGATAAACAATATTAATAATACATTTATATATATATAATTGCCATGTTATGGGACTTACTGAAAAAAAAAATGGAATTGTGTTTTTATTCATTTTAATAGGTCTTGGTGAAATTTGCAGACCAAAAAGGGGATATCCACTTTCAAACTTTTCTCAATGCCATGGAGTGGTTTGAAGAATCTGATATTGAAACAAAACTAAAAGGTTGGTCGGCTATAACAAGTTCCACAATGTAAAAGTCTTTGTCAAAAAAACATTCCTTCTTTTAGCAGATTGAGGAATTAGTTGCTGATAGTGAACAGTACAGTACATGGCTGTCATCAGAGGAGTTTATTATCATGTTTAGAAGATTTTATCAGTTGCCATATGATTATATTGAATTTAACATGATGCATCAATTTTACTTTGAAGCAACCTTTAGTCTGTTTAACAATGGGAACCCAATCTATCCAGAAATGCTGGAGAGAATTATCAAACGAGTTTATTCAGAGGATTCAGAGGTAATTTTAAAGGCCGCTTAAAGAACAGCGGACTAACTAGTCCATGGATCAAATATGGCTGACCCATTTGAATGCTTCTATTCAGTGCCTACTAGGGGATTAGATGGCAAGTTTTTAAGTGGGTCACCATATTTGATCCTCAGACTAGTTAGTCTACTGTTGTGAATATAGCCATAGACCCTTTTCACATTAAGCGATCTACTTAAGCAATACACTCTGTACTTTGAGGGGTCCTAACATGTAATAATGCTACTGTTACAGGGGTTTTTACTCTCTTTCTCATTTTTTTACAAGTGCTGTTTACTTATGCGTAAATTAGTTAATTGCCCATGGGAGGGGGGGGAGGCAGCATTTAGTCAGCTCTTTTACATTATAGCTTAGCTATCAAGTTGTCAGACTCTCAAAGTGGACCTACGTACCACTCGATGTGAAAGGAGCCTGACATTCATACAGTATTGATCTTAACCCTGATTTTCACCTCCACTTTCAACTTGTCCCTATGTTGTCTACATTGTATAGATCAGTAGGTGATATTTGTAAAGCATCTTACATTTTAGAAGCTCTGGGGTTAAGATTTGTACATATACAAATATTATCTAATGAAAAAAATGTTTATTCATTGATTTTAGGGTAAAATATTTCTCAGTATGGTATAAAATGGGGAATTTTTCCTTACTGGTTATTTTAAAAAAACTTGCATTCAAATGTTCATTTTTTATCATACAGGCATCACATAAAAGGCTTACACAAGTATTTATGAAGTACATAGATGACAAAAATCAAGGTAAATAGAAATATTGTTTTGAAATTTTTACCACTAATCTATATCAATATATTAACCTGTCAGGCAGAACTTCTGTACATGTTGTCTTTACCTCCTCCATGATTGTATGGCCAGTCTGAGAGATGACATTAGTTATGGTATTAGGTCTGTCTCATCTGTTAAACAATTTATGGGTAAATGATTATGACTGAAAAAGAATACAGACCTGTACAGATAACTCATTCTATGGTGATGAATTGTGCACATGTCTGGGCATTTAAGTTTAACATCTGGATTACAGAGATCGGGGGGGGGGGGGGGGGGGTTTGCTAACTATTAAATGGATACTGTGATTGGGGGGGGGGTGTTTTTCTATCTTTCAAATGGGTACAAGTACAGAGTATTATCAGAACACTGAAGAGGACAAAACCATTGTAATCCTGTATGGAATTCAGTGGATTAAAGAAGGACTCAAAGTGCCATGAAGCACAGTGTAGTGTTCCTGTTGTCATTTAATTAAAAAGAATATATACGTAGCTGTTGTTTTCTGATTGTTCTAAAAAGAAAAATTTTGGATAGGAAAGGAAGGCTCTGCAACATTCTATGAAAGAGAATATAGCAACTTATACAATTTTAATTTTTTTTTACCTTTATTTTACATGATTAATCTCTTGTGTTAATTTTGCATAATTACTGAGTATCTGTGGCTGCAGTTAACTTTACATGATTTAATTTTCAGGCTTTATTGATCAAGATATGTTTGTACGATGGGCAGCAACTTTGCCAAAAGAATCCCTGGAACAAGTAATGCATTTCTCTGTGGTCCCACCAGAAATCAATGGAGAGGCACAGAAAGCATTTGAAGGCAGATCTCGTTTGGCAAAAAATTGAGCCGTTTCCAGACACTGTGTAATGGAATCCACCAGAGGTTACATCTCCTGGCCATCGTCAGCTTTATATGTGCCATACCTGCTGTGCAGCTCTTTTCCTTTAGCTATATATGTATGCAATGTGTTTCATTTAGGCTAAGTTACAATTACACACACACACACACACACACACCAAAAAACAGATTGTGTAATTTTAAAGAGATGCATTGCGTTTCATACAGGTCAAGTTTTGATTACACCCAAATTCAAAATAGCAGAATGTGTAAAGAGATGCTTTGGAGTTGATCTGATCAAGTCAGGTATAGCGAAGGTCTGATATTAAAAATCTTGGCACAGAATATGATAATCATCATCATCAACCTTTTGTCACAGGGGTGCATGGAGGGATTCATTATGGTGTGTGCTCTCCAAACAGAGCTGTCCTGTGTGAAGGGAATGGATGTCAGCTGCAATGCATATCTGTAGTACTCATTCCTAGGATTGAGCAGACACTAAGTCTCGAGAATGCATGTCCTGGGTCCTCCATTCCTAGGAATGCACGTCCTGGGGCATAATTTCCTGGGACGGGAAGTCCTTTGGACAACTGTTACTAAATAATTCTAAGTCCTGCAGACTGGAATCAATGTCCTAGTCGGAGATATTTTCCCTACAGAACTAGAAATTGATGTCCCTAAATGTTGCTTTGTATATATTGTTGGTGAAGAATATGCAGTTTATTTAGTTTAGAATGAGATTATAGTAATTATAATTATACTTATATACAGACTTTATTTGGTTACATTAATTTATTTCAAATAAATGAACTCTCAACCCACCCAAATTAAATAAATGATAGAGAGAGAAAAGAAGAAGACCCAGATATACCAAATTATATTCAAATTTTATTTAATTACTTATTTGCACTATTTGGGCTTTCTCCTCTTGGAAGATGATGGGATGACATGTAGTCCAGTGGCGGATGAAACCAATTGCGTTTCATCTCTGGGGTGTTTCGAATATCAGTATGTGCCTTGTTCTCTGTTCTACTCTCTTCTGGGCCCAACACTCACTGTCCATACAGAAGGAGGTGAAGTGATTGTCCAAGGAGAATTCCCCTCTTCCTGTAATTGCCTTTTCCACACCTGTGTACTGTCCCTTCATGAGCTCATGCAAACTCCTTATAAAAGCCGGGATGTTTTGCTGTCTCCACACTGTTTTCATCTTCAAGACATGATTTATGGCTTCACATTAGTCCAATGATGGTGTGCCACTTCTTGGCTTAGGGAGGTTTCTAAATTTTCTTGGTCATAAGGGTAGATATGCTGGCTGAAATATGGTGAAAATTGTGGAGCTGTTTCATCTATGAGGTATTATGTATGTAACAGACTTTTTACAGGTATTATGTATGTAACAGACGGACTCTCTGGTTGTGTAAAATGACTTTATTGCTATAACTAAAATTTTCACCCTGTAATAAAGGTGACATATAATTAGATAAAATGACATACAACAAATAACTTATAATTCTATAGTGTACTTCTATGAAAAGGAAATAATAATTTTGATATAGATAACTACGGTTTATAAAGGCTATAACGGCTTACCCTGATCTTATTCAAGGGCGTTTTAGAAAGAGTGCTGGATATACCAATATGGCTTGGTCTGAAAACTAAAGAGTAGAAAACGATGTAATACAGTATAGTATAGTGGAGTTGGATACGCAAAAGACAAGATAAAATATAACTAGAATTAACTAGACGACATCCAACTTACCACATAGAAACAGACAGACGAACAGCAACTTCAGCACTATTTGAAAATACGGCGCCAATGCCTTTTATAATGTGAAGTCACATGACAAAGACGCGGGAAGACAGAACAAAGGGACATAGACAAAGGAACAGACAAAGGAACAATTAGAGGGCGTCAGAGTCACAGCAAGTCACAAGACAAGACAAGACGAGTGACATAGTTACATGTAGTTTCGAGCTTTCGTGCTTCTAAAATTGGAAATGAGGGTGCGTATGTCATTCCAGAAGCTCCAAATATAGCTGCTGTAATCTGGTGTCTTGTGGAACTGTCTACCCCAACTTTGACACACAGCTGCATTATACAATTCTGCTTTAAATGCCTTTTGGATGACAATCTTGCCTCCTCAAAGATGTTTCTGCCCCAGTGTCCAATTTAAAATCCATCAATCCATGTTCCTTAACAAAAATTTCTTTCAACCACTCTTTTTGAATTTCCAGTACTGAGTAATGGTTGGATTGGATGGCAGAGTTATTTTCAATACTTCCTGGATGTGATTGAAAATGATTTTCTCACTATCTCCAAATCTATCTAGTAATAGTCTTTTTGACACTTCGTAGTTGTCTTTGGTAAGTGTTAGGCCTGCAATGGTGGCCTGGGCCTCTCCCTCTAGCAAAGAGCGCAGATACGCAAATTTGGAAATAGTGTAAATGTCCTAATTATTGTCAATGACTGCACAAAATTGATGGAAAAAAAACAGGCCAATCCAAGACATTGCCTGAGAATTTTGGTAAGTCTATTTTTGGCAGCTTAGCAGACGGACAATGTTTTATATCACTGCTCACCTCTCGCGTTCGGTCACTGAAAGTTGGAGCTCCACTAGATATGTACCTTCTTCGTGGCCTTTATATATACCATTCCTTGGCCGTGTCCCTGAATGCTGCCACCTCGCGTTGGTCTGCTTCCAACTCACCTTCAGATTCAAACTCTAATTCTACTTCCAACTGAACTTCATCCAGCTTGGAAATCTGCTTTTCAAAATCAGCAATACAGTCCTTTAGAGTGTCAATGTCCTCTTCATCTTCCAAAAGTGTTCTTATTTGTTCACAAGAACGAGTGACCCATCCTCTAAGTGAAGCTCTGGTTTTCCTTAATTTAGACATGGCTAAGGCGTGCAAATCCTTGACACTGTAGTCCTGCTATACATGTATCCCGGCTCGCGGCACCAAATGTTGAAGTCAAAAGTAAATAAAAACTTGTGCTGGTTCAATTTATTTTATTTTTTTATTTTACAGTTTTACATTACATTCAAACCACACGTGACCAACAAACATGTCACAACTTCACTCCGCATGGAGTCCACACTCTCTCCAACATGGAAAAAACTACTCACTTCACTCCTTTTTTTACCACTAGAGGGACCCACTGCATAGTCACCTCTTACACAATTTAACACAATTGGTCACAACCATTCAACATTATTTGACAATTCCTACTATGTACTGAATTGACCCATACATGTACATTCTCCATGTCATCTGCCATATTGTCATATTCTGTTTCATAGTAAACATTTGTCTTGTTTGCATAGTATTTTTCTTTGGTGAAACATCATCATCATCATCATCATCATCATTTAGAGCCTATAGTGTTCCACTGTTGGACATAGGCCTCAGCATGCTTTTTCCATTGTTTCCTATCCTGACCCATCCTCTAAGTGAAACAACACTTCTCAAAATGATTCAGTTTGTTACATTTAGTACACCTTTTGCAAACTCTGTCCCATGAATGTAGTCCTCCACAGGGGGTGCATTTCATATGTCGATTGTATCCCCTGCAGCTTGTGCATGGTGACCATCTACTGGTGGGAGGGTTAATAATCTTGCCTCCTCAAATGAAGATTTTACTGCTTTCCTGATAGCTTTTTCATGATCGCTCCAATTATTAGGGAGCTAGCTGTTCCATCTAACTCATGAGCCAGAGTGTCCATAAATGTTGCATATGTTTCCCAGTCAGAGGTTCCATGCAGCATGTCTGGGCATAGAAATAGAGATTGTGTATATGATGAACGCCTTACTAGTGATAAGTTTTTGTACACAGTTGCTGTCACATGTAATTGTCCCAAATTGAATGTTTTGTCAATCCCCAGGACTGTTCCATACTCTGCAGGCCCTGCACAGCAAAGCCTTTTTATGTCTGCAATTTGTTTTTCAGTGTAAAGAATGAACATGGGACATTTGTTTTTTTCATGAATGATTTTCTTTAAGAAAGGTTGGTGGTGCATATTTCCATGGAGATGAAAGATATTGTCGACAAGATTTTTTTTCTTCCACTGCTAGTAGTTGGGCCTGCAGTTTCCTTCCTAGTGGACTTTGTGTCTGAACTTGGTGCAAGTCAGCTGGCCTCCTTGGTCCTGCATTCACCCTTATCATGCTGTCATAAATATCTCTAGGCTTAGAGGTTATAGCTTTTGTGGAATTTTTCTCAAATACGGCAGGATTTGTTTTTACATTTTGTTGTGCATTTGAATGACTTGAGTGGGCATGTGGGGCCAGTTCCCGAATATGTCCCACATATTGTACAAGTAACTTATTGGGTCTGTCTTAAAGTAAACTTACTCTCCTTTTGTAGGTAGAGTCCTTTTTAAGCCCTCTGTAATGTAATCACTTGATCTGGTTGTTGTTGTTCCAAAAGTACCAAGTTTCTCTTATATTTTATGTGCTTTTCAATATAATACTGATCATTTTAAGTACTACCTGACACCATTTCCCACCTCTTAATGCCAATCTGGTTAATGGAGAGGGAGTCGGATTCCAGGCACCACAGGCTTCGGAAAGATCTTGTTTTAGTCCTGCTTTGATATGTGAAACATTACGCTGGTTGTCGACAAGGAACATCACATTTTCTTTCCTGCCTGGGGGGATTTCAGTGATGGTTGGAGATGAACTTGATAGTAGAAGTGAAATGACCTCATCCTCTGGTAGAAGTTTCCCTGATGTAATGGTGACCCACCTATTGCTGTACCTAACCCTTCATCTTCCTACAACTGGTTAACCTCCCTGGTTTCATATGGATTTTTGTGCCCCACGTGGAGATCTGATGAAAGCCTGGGGTCACTGATGGGGCCCTTGTCGCCCAAGTTATTGAATGCTGACTGTAGATTTGATGTAGACCCTTTATGTTGGCATGGAAAGCCTGTGGTCAAATCATGTCAGTCTACAAATAATTTTAAATCAGTGCCTTTCACTGCACCTTTTAGGATATCTCCCTCCACAGTGTGCAAAATGCAGGTCTTGCTTTTGGTTTGGCCTTGCACCATGTATGAACCCAACCATGCATCTTGCATTTTTGTCACCTTTCCTGTCTGATCTCAGCATGTTCTTTTTCACATCTTGGTGCCCACTGGGATTGTCTGTTAAGTCCATGGGTCG